CACACGAACACACTCAGGACGAGAGAGAGTGTGTTCCAGAGCAATTTGCATACCACTCAATACCAGGGGATGATCCCTCAGCTTTTAAATAACCTTGACTGACCTTTTATTAGTATGTGATGGCCATTGTTATTAGTATGTGATGGCTAATGCATCCTGGAATACTGCACAAGCTTATCTAATTGGAAAATAAATAAACAAATTAATAAAGGTAATAATAATCTCTTCGCTATTGTTATAAAAGCAAGACCAGGTGATAGATATAACACACTGAATCTCTAATAGATTTTGACAAATGGTAGGATGCAGTTTGGTTTTAAATAAGAAATGACTATGACCAAGGGATTTATTTGGCTTTGTTTGTAAACAATCGACATTTATATACTAGAGAGTAAAGTGGCACTCCTATACGCAATCTGGCACTTATAAACTCCTACCCCCGAGCTACGTTACCGTCGATTTCATAGATATATATTTCTATTTCGTGTTCTAGCAACTCACATAAGGAAAGGTGGTTTTCCCTAGTTGATCCTCATAATCTCTATGAGAACTAAAAACAACGATATTTGATCAAGAGATTACAGAATTGTTTAGTATGGATCCTCACAAGTGGCGGGTAAATCCGTGCCCTATTTTGGAAATATGAAGTCTGGTAGCGAGATATCTCTGGCTGTCTCTTTTCTGGACTAAAGGTAGGAATTATACAGAATGCACCCGCATTGTTATTAAAGACAGATAGGTGGCGCACTCTCCCCCTTATGATTTTGTATACGGGGATACATGGCTGCTGCCTTTGCATTAACTGATCCCATCCAGTCAGAGTCACACAGTTTTCTTACAAATGTGAAGGACTAGAGCATCATTCTGTGAAGGATCAGTAGTGAGGGACCGTCGATGGAAATGAAGAACTTTAAAATGTCTTCTAAAAAGGACATCTTTCATCTCGATGTTAAGATCACTGATTTGGATTCCGGCATTATGTCAGTGTCAACTTATACATGGACCTGTGAAAAAAATATTTCTTTAAGAAAGTTAAGAAAATATGTGTTACAAAACATAGTCCAGTTTGGTTAGCTATTCTACGGCAGAATACAAAAGAAAATTGATAAGCCTAAATCCAGAACTGATATAAAGTCACAAATCTTGGGATATACTTATTATGTGTTTATAGCATACATAAGCCTTGAACTCTCTTATGCCTTATGAACTGAATAGCAAAGCAATCTACAGTAGAACTAAAATTACAGAAAAGCTCACTGTGCACAAAGGAATCTTGCTGGAAGACGAAACAATAAAACCCCATCTTTTTCATCATCTGTAACGACCATGAGCTCTTCAATCAACATTCTTAGTCATCTAAACACTGCAATGATGAAACTAGGATCCCGTAATTTACACATCGTTTGCGCTGTAAGAAACTACATTCAACATAACAACCCATCTACAAACACACAAACACAATCTGAAAATCGCAAAATGACACAAACAGACAAACATATAGACACAAACACACAGCGGAAACAAACACAAAGACTATGCAGACAGCAACAGAGGGAGTCATATATAGCCTCAGAACTACATTCTCTAATAAGGACATAGTATCTCAAGGCTATTGTCTCTGTGACTTGAATTTGAAGGCCTCGTTGATGCCTTCGTTACGGGAGGTCGAACTTCAAGAGAAAGGACAAAGGACAGGTTATACAATATTATCATTGTTCTGGTTTTGATAACATTTATATTCGCATAAATGTTGTTGTTAATATTAGTATTTTAGTAATATCATTGTTATCATTATTACCATAACTACTGTTGCTATTATTATCATTATTATCATCATTATTATCATTATTATTATTATTATTATTATTATTATTATTATTATTATTATTATTATTATTATCGTCATCATCATTGTGATTATTCTTATTCTTACTATCATTGTTATTATTATTATAATCATCATTATCATTATTACCTTTATTATTACCATCATTATTATTATAATTATTATCATTATCACCTTTATTATTGTCATTAGTAGTAGTAATAATATCATTATTGTTATTAGTACTATCACTATTATTATCAACATCATTACTTTTGTTTGTTATTATTATTATTATCATTATTAATATTATCGTTATCATTATTATTAATGTTATCATAATTATCATTAATGTTATCATAGTTATTATTATTGTTATCATTATTATTATCATTATCACTACCTTCATTACAAGTATTATTGGTACAAGTATTATCAGTATTAATATTTCTCTTGTGGTAGCTATAATAAAATTATTACGTTGTTGTTAATGTTATCGTCACTTCATTTCATTATCATCATTATGATCATTATCATTATTATCATAACTATATATATGTAAAGGAGGAAATATGATGATAATATATTGATAACTTTCATTAACAGCTGACACTGACCACCCCCACCCCCACCCCTACCCCCCACGCCATTAAGTGTGGCTGAGGGAGAGGGGCGGGCATGTCCACCAGTCAATTATCTTGTACATATTAATGAACACGGCTGATGTAAGTTCAAATACTGTACATTGACATAGGGTTAGAAGCCATATCTTAGTACGTATGTAAGTGTTATATAAGTATCTATATGTATTGAAGTTCGATACTGAGTCAGGACACGTGTTTTGTTTTAAGAAGCAAATTTGCATAGCAGAAATTTGGAAAATGGAAAAAAAAGTAGAACCACAAGAGCGATCACGTGACTTGTCTTAAAAGGAAATGAGTGAAAATTAGATCTTAATATTAAAATGACATATGTTCGACTTAATGTATTGCTTGAGGTTTGAATATTTGAACAGAGAAAAAAAGAAGTACGAGGAGAAAAAAAAGAGCCGAGGGTGGGGGGGGGGGACAGACCTCGACAGAGATTTTGTTATGTATGCAAATCCTCTGAAGCAGAGGGAAACGTATTCGAATCTACGAACACGTTAACGCATTTTAAAATTCCCCGCCATCTTTTTATGGTTTAAGTATGCGTTTGGATTTATTCACATGTTCACAGACGAAACATTTCGCATTGTTCATATATCTTTTCCTTCCTTCACTTTCCCCCTTTCCCATTCACACGAACTTATGATATAAGGCATTCTCTATTTTTTTCTCATCAATTGGTCCCGTTCAAGATTTCCTTTGTAGGTGAGTTAAGTGGATTCCTGCCTTTTTGTATGCCGTATCATTGTATTCTCTCAAAATTCTTAAAGGAATAGCCTAGAACTGGTGCACTATTTTGCATCCACAGTTGGCCTAGGTTAATATTTATCCATTAATAAAATCAAATTGAAAATTTAGACCCGGATAATAAAAATAAACATGATTTTGTAAGCCCACAAAATTCGTCTGCCTCAAAAACGACCAGTGGCGCCACCACGTCGCGTGACGTCATACCTTGTATAGCTATTGTCCAACAACATGGCGAGCAACAAGATTACAGCAGTTCCAGTGAAGTTGAAAGTGAAAGATCTATTGATTCTGTGTCTACAGAATCAATAGATCTTACTGGTGATGAACTAGAAGATAGGGAGCTGGAAGTAGGAGGAGAATTGGTGAAAGGATACCAATTTGAGCCATGTTATAGGCCGAATCTGACGACTCGTCTTCCTCCTTCATTAACCCATTCACGATGTTTAATTGTTTTCACACATAGATGGCTTCACTTGTATTTGTACTGTTTGTCTCGCCTGTTTACCCTTTTCTTTAATTTACGAAATTATTTTGCGTTATCTTATTTTGCTGTTACTAATGTTTATACTGTTATAGTAATTATAATGTTTATAATAAAAATAACCATCGATATTCATAGCACTAGTAAAAATACATTTTCCCGCCAATTCAAGTAAAGGTGAAATCAGGTAAG